CCCCTCTCCCGATCATCCCCCCAGTCGTTTTAATTCTAACCATCTGCGTGTAACGCTGTTCGTCGAAGCAAGCGGCCCTTCGATAATATTTTCTTAGATGCTTACGATTGTTATTTCTGTTCGTAACTTTATTTCTAGCATAGTCTAAACAATGAATTGCGTGTAGAAAAATATTCGAATAACAACCCTTCGGTAGTTACTGCTTAAAAAATTCCGCAACGTTCATCGTAAAACGTGAAACCAAAAATTTACTGTAATGAACAGTCGTCCAAAAAACAGTCGTCTATTCAAAAAAATAGGGTCGAACAGAAGAATAGTTAACGCGAGAGGAACGAGAACAATTAAAAAGTAAATTGAACCTCCACCCTGTCCGTAAAGGGTGACTTCCGTAATTTAAAAGACTCTCGAGGGAAGACAGTATCGACGTTCCAGCAACTTCGATCGCGACCAATCGAATCTCGTCGTCGGCTTTAAAAAGGAACGGTGTCCTGGACGGCGGGGGGAGGGGCTGCGGAGGGACTCCCGACACCCGTCACGACAACGTTGAAAACCGCAGTGGTGCACGGCCGTCTATAAATGGCCGGCAGTTAATTACACGCCACGTCGCGCGTCGTATAAACGAAAATCCATCCGTCAGCCGTCCCGGCAGCTACACGGGGTTGATAATAATTAAACGGTCCAGGAGTGACGTCGGAAGGGGGTGGAGCTATCGCCGTCGCCGGCCAGACAGCGTGGAGTCGGCAAACTGGAAGGCAGAATGGAAACTGAGACGCGAGAAATCGGATTAGCGGGGATTATGCATTCGTTACGATCTCTCGAGGTGTCTGATTACGGGGGAGGACAGCTGAACGGGGTGAGTATGCACGGATTGGGAATATTGAATTCCTGAATAGGTTGCTAACGAGCTGCTCCTAAGTGAAATCGAAATTTCGCTTCGCTTCTTCTACTGATTAACCCTTTGATGCTCAGGAAATTATCGTAATTCGATCCGAAACTGTTCTTGGAAAATTCACACAAGTTCGCGTGGGTGCCGCGAACGTATAATATTCATGGCCAATCAAATTGCTCCGATCTGAAACGTAAATACGTGCGAGCAGCAGGATCATCTATACATTAACGTTTGATTTTTTTTATTTGATTATTTAATTATTTTTCTGAGGTTTTTCTGTGGTATCTTGAAGACCGATTCAATTTACCGTACTGTGATCCAAAAAGTTGTTTTTAATAAACTATTCACCTTTTTGTCGACGTTTTATCGTTTCCTGAGGTAGCTGATCTAGCTCGCGAAGTTATTGAAATTACCTAATTATGTAATTGTGTTGAAATAAAAATCATTATGCTGCAGTGAAACTTTATAAGAATTAACAAATAAGATATTTTGTGTTTTCATTTATGTATTCAACCTCATTACCTTACGTTATGACAAGAAACCAATAATCAAAAGAATGTGCCACTGTCGTTCGTATTTATTTGGACGCTCATTTTCGTGCGAATGCACTGTATGCAGAATAACTGTGAGTTATATTGCCACCTCGTTAAATGCAGGTCTCAATGGAGCAACATTTCATTTAATACTTCACGACAAAATGGTAAGTATTCGAGCACATTTCAGCACATTTGTATCGGCGACATCCGAGCGCAAAGAGTTAAGTTCATAAAATCCCCTGTCTGGTCACGTGTGAACAAACGGCTCCAATTCAGATCCAAAGCATAAACGCATGCAAAAATCTAGAGCAACTAACTTTAAAATCTCTACCGAACAAGCCTATCGATGAAGAACGAACGAAACTTTCGGACGAATCCATCAAAATCGCAGAAGTCGTTGGTCCTGAAAGACGAGCATCTTCTTCGCGAAAACCGGCGAGTAGATCCGGAAAGATTCCATCCCCCCTAGGCAATTCACGGCGGGCCGTCTAAGTAAAAGCATCCCGATGAATCTGCCGCGCGATCGGGACAGCCTTGTATTTCACCGAAACGACCGGTCGCTAATTGCCAGTCGGCTTCCGAGGTTTCGCGCGGGCCGCGCGATAAATTTTTTGATCCATCAGCGGTTAAGTGCCGGCCATTACGCCGCGGGGAACGTTCAAGTCCGGGGTTCTCGATCGATCGATCGAAGGATGCACAGGAGAGCCGGTGTGTCGGCTCTCCGCTCTCGATCGGGAGCCGGCTTTCTTTGTCCCGGCCCCTCGGGCTTCCACGAAAGCAATTAATTTCGGGACATTCCCGGGAGTGAACCAGAGTCTGGCCGCCCACGCGCGACCTCTCCGGGGCCATTGTCGTTCCCCCGGCGGAATTGCCGGCCGGGTTTTCGGCGGCGAGAACGCGAGGCGTGGTGCTCGCGGCCGAAATTTTAAGCGCGTGTGTAAGCACGCTCGTAAAGTCCCGTGTGTTCCTCGTAAAACCGCGTGTCGTAAACGCCGTCCACGCCGCTGAAAACCTCGCGTCGGATTGCTCGGCGACCGGCAACAACGAGTCACAAAGCTTCCGTTGTTCCCCGGACGCACCGGCCACGTTTACTACGCTCCCGGTTCTTTCATGCTGTTCCAACTTCAACTTTCGTGCAACGGCACCGGGTCGGCCGGGTCGCCGACGACCCGCGATAAACTTTATCGCAAGCAGAAGCGATCGGCTTTTCTGCCCGAACCCTGTGGTTTTTATCCCTTTCTGGGAAAACGGGATCCTTATTTGTGCATCTTCAAAAATTGTTTGCTCTTTTTGTTCTTCGTTTGCAAATTGGACTTTTTGGTGCTGCTGTTTCGAATATTTTCGATGTTTAAGTTCTAAGTTTGTTCGCTCGATACATTCTAGTTTCACTTCTTTACTTTGTCTTAAATATATTAAATTAAATATAGTAAACAGATGTTCGGTGCTCGTCTTATTGTTAGTCCTGATAATTGTAATAAAAAGTCAACTGCAAAATTAACGCTAGAACTATCGAGCTTTAAACGCGACTAACGTACATGGTTTTATGAAAATAATAATATTGGATTTATGTAAACTCTTCGTACGATTTCTATTATAATATATGCTTCCACACACACACACACACACACATAAAGAAACATATCTAAAAATTTCTCATAAAAAACTTTTTAATAATTGGAATAATAATGAATAATTGGTTTTAATAATAGGAATTGAAAAAGAAAAAGACAAAAGCCAGTTAAAATGACTGACCTTAAAGGATCGCTAATTTTTGAACTTGACTCGGCCCTCAAATCAAGGGAGAAAGTCCCAAAAAATGAACGTTCAACACGTCAAATACCAAATATTCAATCCTAAAAAATTTCGCAATATGTAAGTCATTCAATCAATGAAACCGAAACTGGCAATTTAAAATTTACCACTGGAAACATTAGTTTAACTCTGTTACATTCCACAAATCCTGATAACATTCGTTTCGTTCAATATATTGCAATAAAAATAAATTCCAAAACCTAGTTAAATAAT